ATGCCTCGACGAAGGACGCGTGAGGGACCAACATGTGGCAGTCGTCAGGAAGGAAAACCCACTACTTACCGCTCCGGGATGCACCTTGCCCGTTTGTTTTCAGGCAGAGCGTTGCATTCCAAACGCACGGGCACCTCCATAGGGTCCTGTACGAGGAGGGAGGAGAGCCCCGTCCCCAGCACAACATCCACCTCCTCCAGCCACGCATGCAAGGAATCCAGATCAGGTAAGGCGCTCTTATCACAACAGATCAAGAAGGCTGTCTTGCTGGCATGGAAGTGAAGTATGCTCTAAAGCAGTTTTGATGGAAAATGCCGTGTGAAACCTTACAATGTAACTGCTGCTGCTGCTCAAATCTTTGGTTGGATGGTTGGGATGGTTTCTTTCCATCCTTCAGATTGTATCCCCAGGATCAGTCCAAGTAACTTATGGTTATTTACCCTCGGCAAAGATGACTGCAAGTACATCTATCCCCATTTAGTAAGTCAGACCAGTATTCTTGTGCAAAACTTTTTATTAAAAAGAGAAAGGGTTCTCTGCAACAAAACAGGTACCACGCTTATCATAAAATTTAACTTCTCAAACATTGCGATAGACCAGATGTGACACACTGACTGTGACAAAGACCGTGTCTCAAATTTAGAAAGTGTTATTCTCACTCCCAAAATCACAGCCAACACATCCGTCAATTATGACCTCTTAGCTTTAAAACCCACGTTTCTGTTGAGGGAGTTACCAGCATGTTATCAAGGTCAAGTTTTAACATGCAGCATCCATGATGAAGCTGTAAATAACCCAAATTAACATTACTAAAATGCTAAGATTCCTACAGAACCTTTCACATTTCACAGCTTTAACAACTTTCCAATTCTCATGAACTGACAGAAACAGTTATGTTCCTCTAAATATATAAAAAACAGCTTAAAAAAATATCAGGTGATGAAAAAGAATTTCAAAGCACCCCATAGCCTGACCTTAGAAATAATATTTGAAAAATATCTTTACCAGGAAAAAGAAAAGATAATTTTTCTATTAAAAATCAGGGGTTTACCCTTTCTCCACTTGTATGCATGTGTGTATTATGGACATTGGTTTACAGCAAGTGTCTTGCCCTAGTGATTACTTTCCTGCTTTCCAAAATCAAGCAGGCACCAGGGAAGAAATGACAACACATTTACATATAAGTTACCCATCCTGGAGCACCAGTAATGAGCGAGAGCTGTCAGAATCCGAGGTACCTTACATTTTCTGTGCAGTACCAGGACTGCCTCTCCCCCACAGGCTGCTAACAGACTAATGAGTATCATTAAGAATGAACATGGCATTCCCCAGTAGTTCCAGGGGATCAGTACTGTAAAGGGGCACTTGAGTTGTTTCATGCAAAAAGTTGTCTGTTCACATAGATAGCCTCTGCATCAGTACCGTATACTAGGCATGGTCCTAAAATATCTAAACTATTCACAGACAAGGTCTGATTTGGAACTAAGTTGGTGATTTCCATGCGGTCTTTGGTAGGATCGTTGCTTAGCCAGGCACTTACTACAGACTGGTTAATGGTATTGTGGGAAAAATAGGCAGTACTTCTTCCTCCTGAAAGAGGAAAGACAAGATAGGAAATTAAGTTCCAATTGAGTTTATACATTCTCAGAATTTGGAGAAACATAGTAGGTATGGGACAGACATAATGGGAATATTTTACATGTAAGTCAGTTTTCAGATTAGTTGACAGATGTTGTTGTCTCTTTGGTAAATGAAGAAAAAAACAGCTTAAAAAAAGCCCATGAAGTACCTGAAGTGATTGCAGAAACCTGCTACCAGATCTGTCCTCAGAAAAGGCAAACAGGTCAGAACAGCTATGAACTCATCTCGATGAACAAACAGTGGAAGGGTCCAAGAGTTTTTCCAGCCAGAGACCAAAGCAAGAACAGACCCAAGACGAAAAGTCTGTCTGTTTATACAGTGTTTTGCTATATCTGGGGCATCAGCTTTGCTTTAGTCACGCTCCCTACCATCTCTTCTCCCTTCTTAATCTGCAGCAATTGATACACCTGGATTTGTCTTTGAATTTTTTCCACGTATTATTTTATGTTCAAACTGAAATCTCCCAGTTTGAGAACTATCATTCAGCATAAAATCAGCAAGTGGCTGAAGTGGTGCTAAAAGGGGTTTATATTTAATATACCTGAAAATATGCAGAGCGCATCTTGAGTCAGTTATCCTACTGTTTCCCTATACAGAACTGAGTTTTGAATAGCAACTTTGAGGCCAAAGGCACTAGATGACATCTGAAAGTTTCCCCACTGTTTACAGTCTGAAGTGGCAAGCAATTAAGCAGTCTCTGTGACTAGACTGTGAAAATGTGTTTCTATTAAGTCTATCTTTAGATAGCGTTTCTATTAAGTATCTTATTAAAATCCTGCCACTATACAAAGGGATCCAGTTTCATTCTTTGAAAGTTCCAATTATGACCTTGAATAGTAAATTCATAATTCTACTATCCTATTAACATATCAATTATTTTGGTATTATAACATTGGTGTACCTCCTTCAGAGACTTGGATACGTAATGTGTCATTTAGGCTGCCTTCATGTCTTTTCTATATACAGATGATTAAGTGAACATGATCCATCTTTGAAATACCAGACATGCCTCTTCACACATTGGACAGATTATAGCACATTAAAACCCCCCCACAAACAAACAAAAAAAAAACCAAACCCCAAAGCAGACCACAAAAGCTTCACACAACTGCAAGTCTTACTAGTAGTTTTCCTGAAGTACCTTTCAGGGCTTTCTTTCTAAGGAAAGAAACCAGCTTTTAATTTTCAGTATTAGGGTTGTGTTATTAATTAGGTCAAGCGAGAGTATTGACTTCATGTGGCCAACTGACAAACTGGGTGCAGACTGACTTCAAGCATCCTTACCTTGATGAAGAAAAGATGGTTTTTCAGATATGTCTGTGGAAGTATCCCAGTGCCAAAGAGATCCATCTTCAGAACACGTAAATAAGTGATCAGGGTTGGAGGGATGGAAGTGAACTTCCCACACTGGAAATATCAAACCAAAAATAAAACCCACTTCAGAACAAGTATCAAGTACTTTGTTCAGTGCACTTGTATGACATGGACATGCGCTTACAAGAACCCAGGCCCTCACCAGAACCTTCCATTCTTAAATGTGTGCGTAGGACACCTAAAACCCCATCCATAGTTAGTTACAGCAGTTTTCCTCTCCTTCCCCCAGGAGATAAAAAAACCCAACCAACCAACCAACCAAGACTATTTGCAGCATTTTCAGTACTGTGAGAATTGTTAAAGGTTAAAATCTTATCTGAATTCAGGCATTCTGAATACTTTCTCATGCGGTCTTCCCCACTGCTAAGTTTAAATCTGCACACAGCAGTGCATTCCTTCCCAGCACAGACATTATTATTTTGTGTCTACATACCACAACTATGGAAAAGATATTTAAGTCAGTAAAACGTAACACCAAGAAATATTTTTACTCCTGAAATATAATTGTGGCATCAAGTCAAGAAATTTTTAGCACAAAATGAATTGCTATCTTGCTCATATAGATACGAGGACAAGTGAGCTGTTTCAGCATTGTGGAGATACCAGATGGGGCTGTACCGTTCTCAGTTTCCCCTCCTTCCTTGTGTTCTCAAGTTTGTTAGTAACTGCATTCTTGCCTTACTATCTATAGCTGCATACCACAGCATCCATTTCTATAACTACTTACATACCTACTCTTCTGGAAACATAGCTATTCTGATGAAATGCATCTAATGACTCATGAAAGAACTGCTTATTAAGTCTAGTTTTAGTTTAGATAAGAACAGTGTCATACACAGAGAAAGAACAAACTGAAGGCAACTGGATGAAAACCCATTAAGTAGCAACAATGTGATTGTTTTCTACTGTAGCTACACCACCTAACTTTTTACAGGAATTAGAAACTTTTCTAAAGTGCCCCCTCACCCCCCCTCCATTTCAGATACTTACTTTCTGCTTCATGAGCATTTAGCAGGGACACTGGCATCGTACCCTGCCTGATGTCCCATATGCTCAGCATCCCATCCTGGCCCCCTGTGGCCACAATATGCTGCTGATTGGGATGCCTGTCCACACAGTGCAGTGGAACTCTGTCTCCTGTCCTGCAGAAGAGAAGACAAACATGAATTCTTTATTCAGCTTCTGTTTTCTCCTTCCTAATCCCTAGGAGTGTTTACAAAGAAGGTAACGGTATTGACTGCAGCTTCAATTCCTGTAGCATTTGGTCACTACAGGCTGAAGCCGCATGACATCTACTGGAAACTAGAGGTATGGCAATGACACAGAGTTCGACGAATGTCAGGTTCTGTGCCCTATGGTATACAGCCATCTTCTACACGACATCTGACAGGGATATGGGAGTGGGAAAACGTTGCATACAGATATACGTATATGTACAATATTAAGATCATTGTGAAATTCATGTTATGCTTGCAGTCTCACAACATATACTAAGAGTTACTAAGGGCACATAAAAAACCCAGGTACCTAAAGCACTGCCTATTAATAGCAATGGCAATTATTCCATAGACAATAGGATTTGAATCTAGCCCAGTTTGTTTTCTCATAATACCTTACAAGGCAAAGTTATCATTCAGATACATTTCAAATGGCAGAAACTTTATATTAGGCCTGTAGAGAAACAGAATAGTTTTGGCTTGGGTTTGGTTTTGGGGTTTCCCCTCCCATCCCTTAAAAAGGAACAAGTGTACAGGTGCAATAGTCCTTCAAGAGTTAAATCATAAAACAGGCCACCTAAATACAATGCTTAGCCACAATAGCAATTCAGTCATTAAGCAGAGTCTGCTTTTGATTATTTAAATACCAAAGAAGCTAAACCAACTTGTTTTAAAAAATATCAATCATTTATCACCCCATTGTCAAGAAGGTATCAGGAAAGCTTTACATCAGATTGTATGAAGTACCACAGGCTTCTCAGTAAATATGTAGAAAAAAGAAATAAAAATGAAGGCCTTACAAAGAAAATATTTGAGATGGCTCATTTCTTTGCTGTCTGAGGTCCCATATTTTTAACTGTCCAATTGAATTTACTGTCAAGATCTCAGTTGTGCGGAGGAAGGTCACAGCATGGAGCGTACTGCTGTCTGCATTGTCTGCAAGAGAGATGAGGAAAGCATTCAGGTAAACCTATAGACTGCTAGTCTCCGTTTAATTATGACCAAATAACTCTTTTTAGAAAACAGAAACATAGCTTCTTAAACATGGATACCACCTCTATATTTTCAGGGAGAGACAAACCAGTGTCATGGGAATTTTAAGTCTTAAGTAAAGGGTACCCTGTGAAAACAGAGCACTTGCTTCCCATATTAAGCATGACTGAGACAAATCTGTAAGAAGCTACATTTAATCAGCTCCAGTGGTTACAGAACTACTTTTTACATCAGTAAGATTTCTTTCTATAGTTCCAATTTACATGGTTTTCGTAAGAGTTTTCTTTATATGCTCTGCATCTACTGACAGGAGGCAAGCTATGGAGCTTTTCAGAATGCAGTTCTTTTGAATACAAGAAACAGGAACTCTGGCTGAGAACATTAAGCAGTTGCATACAGAAGCTTTTGTATTTACCGGCCATCTTTAGACCATTCCCAAGAACTGTCAATGTGATATCCATCTCTATCCCTAAAGCCAAACCAGAATTATGCTGTACTTGTTAATAACTAAGTAGCAAAGCTTTTTTTTTTTCAGGTCCTTCAGTCCAGTGCTTCTTTTGGACACAGTAATTTACAATGTCAAATGCTTTACAGCATGAGGTGAAACTTTTGAGGCTTTAGGAGAGAACAAAGACACCTTTTTCTTGTGTTTTCATTCTGTTACTATATATAAGCTTTTCACCTGGATTATGATGGGTAACACTGTTAAGTCTACTTTCACCTCAAGTATTTTAAGATTCTTTGTGTAAGCCCATACTGAAAACATAGGTGAATTTTTGGCTGCAAAAGATGGAAACCTTTTCGGATATTGAGACAGACAAGTTACACCGATGCCTGGTTACAGATATTTGAACTGAGTTTTCTTTTCTGCCTATTATTTAAATAAAAGCCGAGGGGAAGAAAACCACCAGAATAACCTTTAAGGAGAAAGGTTAGATTACTGAACACTGAAGTTCTAAAGGTTTTAGAATTTTTTTAACAGAATATCAACAGTGATGCATCTTTATGGCTCCAAAAGATTTTTACGTCATCTCTAACTTGGAAGATTTTTTCCTGCCGTGACTGACTATAAACATATCAACTTTGTATTATACTATTAAATCCATTAAACAGTAACAAAAATAGCAAGTTACTCCTTTACAAATATTTCATGAGGTACTAGAGTTCTATCTTCGTGGTAAAACATGCTGAGGGTTCAGCTTACCACCTGGGAAGTGTCAGGATGTCATTAAATTGGGAACCAGCACAAAGGATTGCTCACACTATAGAGCTCCATGCTGAAGAACTTGAAAGCATCTTCCAAGATGTTCTCTCTTCCCTCTCCAGGTTTTACTGTCAGTCTATAGTCAATGAATTTGTACTAGGCCCTTACACATAACTCCTGGTAAGCTTCACTTACCAGGTCCTGTTTTAATTCCTATTTTAACATTTCCTTTCCCATTTCCAAAAGGACATTTCTCAATTAATTCACACAAGATTTCTTAAATGCCAGCAAATCTCAATGCAGAGACTTACTGCAGCTAACACTGGCTGCCACAACAAAGCAAGCATTTTTACACAGTACTATCAAGTGAACACTGTGGAAATGAACAACTTGTGCCCTGCACATTACCAAATCTGGATGTAAGCATCTCAGCAATTGCTCAGACAAAAATACCCATTTTTTTGTATGGACATCTGCTTCCTGTGAGTCAGCAAAACATTCTACTCTCAAACTTGTACCAGAACACTATGTTAGTATCTGTATATAAGAAAAAAATTAAAAATAATCCTTTTAAGCTATTTCCTGTTGTTGCCCCTCAAAGGGGAAGTTACTGTGTTTTGTGTGCATGTGCTGAAAAAATCTGCCTCATGCCCTACTTTTTTTTCTTAAAGCATAGAGAGACTTCTCAAGGAGCATCAGTAAAAGACTGTATGCACTGTCATGGTTTAAGCCCAGCCGGCAACTTGGAACCACGCAGCCGCTCGCTCACTCCCCCCCTTTTCCTTCCTCCCCCCGCTCCTGGAGGGATGGGGAGGAGAATCGAAGGAATGTAACTCCCACGAGTTGAGATAACAGCTCTCCAGTAACTAAGGTATAATACAAACCACTGCTGCTACCAGTAATAATGATAAGAGGAATAACAAGGGAAAAGGACACAACCGCTCACCACCCGCCGACCGATACCCAGCCCGACCCGAGCAGCGATCTGGGCCTTCCGGGTAACTCCCCCCAGTTTCTATACTGGGCATGACGTGCTGTGGTATGGAATACCCCTTTGGCCCGTTTGGGTCAGGTGTCCTGCCTCTGCTTCCTCCTGGCTTCCCCTCCCCTCTGGCAAAGCATGAGACTGAGAAAGTCCTTGGTCAGAGTAAACATTACTGAGCAACAACTAAAACCATCGGTGTTATCAGCGTTGTTCCCAGACTGAAAGTCAAAAACACAGCACTGCACCAGCTACTAAGAAGGAGAAAAAATGACTGCTGTAGCTGAACCCAGGACATGCACTTAATAGGATTTATCTTGTGTGTGTATACAGCCATGCACACACCAGTATTCCCTCTGGAAATACCAGACAGCTTCCTCCCTTAATTGGCTTATCACTGTGTGAATCTCTTCACCCTCTGGAGGAAAGGTATTGCTTGAAGAGAAACACAGGTGCTGTGTGTCAGACTGAAGCTTCAGGGAGAAGGTCCTAGTTTAATAATGCCACTATCAAACATGGTGTTACTGGCCTTTAAATTATTTCTGCTTCTAGGGTTCATTTCCAACAGAGGCTACAAACTTGTATCCTGTTTCCACAATACCAGCATGGCAGAAGAGTTGGGAATAACCAAGTTTTGACACCTTTCAGAAACATCTTACTCCATCATTTAATCTATTATTCTAGGAAATACGGAGCTTTTTTACTGAGGGAGAAATGATCACTGTAAGCCATGATACCTGGCAGAAGAACAGGGCACAAACAGGGGTGTCTGGTCCTTGGTGTTCCCTTTAGACACAGAGAAACCGATATTTTTATATATGGACATCACGATGGTTAGTCTTAGTACAAATAGTGAATTGAAACAACCACTTCACTGACCTCCAGTTATGAAGAACTTGGAACACAGAACATCTTGAAATCTAACCGTATTTCATGTAGACTGTCATAGCATTTAACAATTCTAGATGAAACAGGCTTACAGAGAATATCAGGCTTGAAACTTCTCTCTCAGTTAAAACATTAACTTGCAAATACCTGAATTAATATAGAAATATATCTGAAATATGTTTCAAGTATCTGAAATCTGGAGGAAGCCAGGAATAATCTGGAGCAAACACGTTCAGCTTGAATATTTAATGCAATTCCCAACTGACCTTTTTTTTTTGGTGTGTTATCATTTGAGACGCTAAAACCCAAACAAATCACACTAATTTGAACAGTTATTTGACATACCTATAGTTCTTACTGCATCCTTTTGGTCAGCTCTGAAGAGGTTTATTCTACCATCTTCTCCAACAGTGACAATTTCTGGTTTGTTACAGATGACTCCGGTACATGCTGCTCCACCACAAGATGTGTCTTGGTCCACATGGTAATGGGCTTTCTCCCACCGCTGGTTGGCAGATAAAGTCTAAATAGTAACCAGACATGAAGTTCTGCTGTTAAATAATGACCCTGATAGACCAAAGCTTCCAGAACACTCAGGAAACCAGAAACAAGCACAAGGAATGCCACACTGCCTCACAGGAATGGGACTCTCCTACACAAGTAAGAGTGAGAGATCTAAATTGTCCTCAACTCCTGAGCACACAAATTTTCAATAAATTTTTGATTATTTCTTCTCTGAACCCCTTTTTCATATAAGCTAGAAATCAGAAAGAACATGATTTGTGAACTCTGAAATGCCTTTCACTAAGACATTAAGTCCTTCAGTCTCTCCCCAGGACAAGGGAAAAGAAGCAAGGCCTTTAAAAAAATACAAGTTCAAAGTTAGACTGCAAGGAATTCAGTTTATTTTAGTTAGTACATCAAACTGTTAACAGAGATCAGTCTTTATTGTGTCATTGTGAATTTATAAAGTTATTACGCATTTATTTGCGGTGATTTATAATCGGAGCAAAATACAGAGTTTACCTATCTTTCCTCACATGACACTAATGAGAGAATTCAACATGAGTCATTTAGTTCAAGAACACAAAAACTCTAATAAGGCAGGTACAAGTCCATTCATACCAGCTCCCCCAAAACACTCTAAACTCCGAATGAATGTTCTCAGTGAATGGACTATTTGGTTAGAGATATATGAAAGCAGCCATCCCACTCTAGCTGGCTTTGGAATCCGATTTATGTAGCGTGTGTGCAAGATGCCTTTTCCTTTCCTTGTGTGTATAAAGCCAAAGCTTTTTCTAACAGTCTTAAAAGAAGAATAAATAAATTATTTTGGTATGCAGATATTTCTTGCTGTAGTCATTTTGAGAAATCTTATGTTAATATCCAAGCAACCTGTATTACTCAGAACAGCAGCTTAAAGCAAGTTACTTACCTGGTTATTTTGATGATGACGGAATACAGTTACAGTTCCTGTTGATGAAGCAACCACAATTCTCTCTTGATCCAAAAACTAAAGAGAGATAGTAAGTGTGCTGTTAGTTGATGTCAGTACCAAAATGATAATTTTGACTTCAAGGTAACCTAAATTACTGGTAAATATAGTAAATAGAAAAAACAAACCCACAAGCTGATACTAGTTGGTTTTGCCCTATTTCAAAAGATGTTGGGGTTTTTTTGTCAATCTCAGCATTTTGACAACTCACTATCACTTAATTTTTCCTAAGTGACAAGGCCTTAAAAAACACAGATCTTTTCAACGCAGCTGCTTTACCTGCATGTCCATAACATCACCGTTGTGCCTGATATCACACAGCAGCTGAGGTTCTCCTTGGTACTCCCCGTTGAGGCCCGCATTCCCAAGGTCTCCAACAGACCAAATGGAGATCCTGTTATCCTGTACGGAAACACCACCACCACCAGGTTTACCGGAACGTATTTACTCTCCCACACGAAGCAGCGGGGGCTGGGGCGGTCCCACGCCCCG